CGTTGGGGATTAAAGGGTTAATAGAAATTGGAGTCCATTGATTGGCTATTGATGCTTTATTCCTGTAAAATTACACCGAACGCCTCCTTCCTATGATAGTTACTGTAAATAATGCTACCGGGCAAATATCGACAGCGTACTTCTGTATACCACAGTTATTACCAACCCAAGAATACCACTACTTTCAGTTTGTGTCTCAACCAAGAACAGCTTTCTGAAAATTGATAAATTGCTTATTGACATGTACAATATGTACACATGATTCATAATTGGCCAATCAATCTCTGCAAACATCGCACAACCAAACACATAACAATCCCAGAAAATCAAGAACATATCAATAAATGTCCCACACAAACAAACACATAACAAACTCGTCTAGTACAAAAAGAACATATGTACCAGACAATCAACCACATAGCAATGGATATCCTGGTCAAATTTCCTGGAAAATTGATCTACTATAGAGGCTCACTATGTGCATAGATTCTTTGACAACAGTTGAGTGTGTATGTGTGTTTGAGAGTGAGGAGCTCGAGGGGAGGGGTTAAGGGATTGGGGATCGGGGATTGGTGGTGAAGATAAACGTAAAATCTAAATGTGTATTGTATAACGTAATATTTCATACACATATTCTTGTGGGGTGGGGCTGGCGAGTAAGGGGACAGAATAATAGGTAATAAGGAAGATTGAGAAGGGCATGTTCGTAGGTAGGAATATCGCAAATGGTTAACTGTAAAATTAAGTTCAACACAATAACATTACAAACTCATACACAATATTAAAGTTCTCAAACGGAGATCGTAGCTTGAAATATTATCATTCAGGACAAACTTCACAATCTCTATTCATGCACCATACACATATTGTAGACATTGCAGTAGCATGTGTGAGCCAGACATGGAAAATTATTATACTTAATCGGGAATAAAGAAGAACAGATAGAAGGTCGCTCGATCCACATATAGCAATGTGCACAGGTGGTGCATTTCAGTGCTGGAAAATGAACATGGAGTTGGGTCAGATCAGTCGTGAGGTCAATATATTGTTAGTCACTCAATTTCTGGGGAAAGTCCGTTAATAGATCCGTGTTATACCCATACTGCCGTTCCGCCCGAGCGATGGCCATTACATAATAAACACTTCCGTGAACATGGATGCCCCTCATAGCCATTGCACTAGTATATTTCATTAGAATATGAAACGGAATTAATAAAATTGCAAATCTTAAGATTGGAGTAATTTTAAAATTATTAGAAACAAGGTGATGTCATCTGTATGAAAAGTAAAGAGAACATTTGAAGCCACACTTGATGAGGAAATATACAATACACACTTTTCTAAGACTTGAGGGCGTTTGATTAAAAGTTATATGTAACAAGAAACATACTGATAGTTCATAGTTCCCATCAATTGATCAACAGCACTTACAAGTTGTTTTGCTAAGATTTTTTAAATATATGTATTTAAACACGTGTAACTTTCTCACAGACAACTCTATGGCGAAAAGGAATTTGCAATCGGGATTTATGCCCCGTTATTCAACAGCCGATCAGCTAACGTATATAGCTGGGCAGTAGACGAAGGAAGGGGAATAACAGCTGTTTTTGTTTGACTTTAGGAAAACATTGGGCCAAGTATGGCATAAATTAATCATTCTCAAACTTCAAACATACGGTACAGAGGGCTCTCTTTTGAAATGGTTTGAAAGTTCTCTTGCACATAGAACGCATGAAGTTGTCATAAACGGCTATAGCTCTGAATCTAATGCCATAGAAGCGGGCGTTCCCAAGGATCAGTCTTAGGACCGCTACTATTATTGTTCATATGACTGATATCGTTGAAGGTATAGACATATACGTTTATTTGCCAACGACACGTCAATAAATAACACAATGGATTACAATATTACATCAGTCATGTGTATCATTAATGACCTGCAAAAAATCAGATTGGGCCAATAATTGGAATGTAGGATTTAACCCCGAAAAGATTGAAAGTACAACTTTTACTCGTAAAACCAATTAGCGTCTTGGACCGAATTTATTCTTGTACTCTAATCAGGTGTAAGAAGTAGAAAGTCAGAAACAGTAAGGACTTACGCTTCAAAATACGCTTGATCATGGAAAGTACTTAACTATGATATTGTTTAGAAGGTTAGTCCCATAATTTAATATCACCTATCAAGGAAAACTATAGAGACATTGTACAAGTCGTTTATTCGTCCCATCGTCGTCACATTTGGCATAAATTGGTACAAATAAGCAGGCTCTTCTGCTTGCAAATCTCCATTTGGATGCTCAGAAGTATATGCGGTGCAGTCAGGAGTATCCACCTAACTCATTTTAAGTCTCTAGATGAAAGACGATATCTTCTCAAACTGTTGACAGTTTACAAAATGGACAGCCGCGTGACGCTTTATTATCTAACTGAACTAGTAACAGGTAGAGTTGCTGAGATAAGTATTTATGAATTTATAACTGTAATTTCTACTCCAGATTGGACAAGCACCTACTTCGACTTAAACCCAGGAATTTGATTCTGTCAGATTATCCACTGTCACACCAGGTTCTTCTACAGTGATAGATTTTCTGTATACATTTTTGAAACATCTAACTGCTCACATGGTTATCACCGTCAAGACGCCCCTCGTTATCCATTAACATGTCGAATATATCAACATATTAGGGAATATAAGCCATTTTACTCTGAAGATTATAACTTAAACACAACTCCATACTTCGCTGAGTAACTCCACCAGCATGGACATTCTTAAATCTGTACACGAGTACATAAAACACAAAAGATTTTAATGATCATACGTACAACGAATTTCAGTCTGCAAATCAGTTTCCACGTTGGCACAACTAACTTACAAGTTTTACTTTTTTTACCTTTTTGAGATCTGTCTTGTTATTGCTTATTGTTAACGTAGCGGTATTGGTATAAGCATTTTACTTGTTTACCAATCCGTTTTTCTTTTGGAAATAAACCCATTGTTTAAACAACATGAGCAAGACATGGATGATATACAATCAGGAAAAAATAAGAACAGAAATTCGTCAGATCCATTTATAGCAATGAGCACTGGGAGTGCATGTCAGTGTTGAGTCGAGTCGAGTGATCAATTAATACATTTTTAGTCACTCAATTTCTGGGGAAAGTCCGTAAATAGATCCATGTAATACCGCTCCTGGCCTTCACTGAAGGGTTCAGCCCGCGAGAGGATTACGTGACACTGCAGATAGTCGTACGCCATCCCTCCAGGTAAGTGAGCTGTGAAACCTTTACGGAGTTACTAGTCCCCGTATATGCGGCGGTTACAGGTTTATCCTGACTATGAAGTGTTGAAGTCAAATTACGTAATCGTATACGAAAGTTCCAAATGCTAAAGGTTGAATTTTCGTGTTCAAAGCTTCCTTGTAACATAGGAGCAGGACAAAACTATGGATCAGTGCGTGATTAGAACGACTGGGATATCCGTTTCCTAGCCCAGTGTAGACTGGGAAATATCAAAGTGATGATCCAATCAAATTTTACATTAATTTGTTTCAGATAGGAACATGAGTAACGCAGATTATAATATCCATGTAACTGGTGCTGGCAGGGGCAGCAACGTCGGAACATTCAATGTTGCCGGTGTCGTCCACGGTGGGATGGGAAATAGAGAGACCACCAACTATAACCAAGGTTTATGTATCAACATCATCACCTCCACGTTATTTATCATATTATATATTGATAAGTCCAGTTAATCCTACAACCAACAAGGCACATACCCGTGTATCTAATGTATTCAGATAATAGATTTCTGATGCGTTAGCTTTGTTTACAGTGTGAAGAATAATGTAAAAGAACCAAGCACCTGCAATCAACTTAATTGTTTTGCTAATAAGTGTTGTTTCCTCGTGTGTATATATTTTTATTTATTTTTATTCATTTTATTCCACTGCTTTTTTTGTATTAAAGTTTTAATTCATGTCATAAAGGAAGCCGAAGGATCGTGAACACAGGTCAGATAGGCAACATAGCAACTGGTGACAACCATGCAGGCGGGATGCAAGCCACGATCGCCGGGCAACAGGGAGCACCTGCTAGGAAGGGTAATAAGTGTTGGAATCTTGAACTACGACATATATGTAATTGTATTTGTGGTTATAAACATGAATTGAGTGGGAGACTGAAGCAGAGGAACATTGGCATTTTGAGTCAAAGATCTGTGTTCCATGGCATGGTGTTCTTGTCGAGTTAGGTGCATTTAACGTCACTTGGAATAATGTTTCGGTTATATCAGGGTGTTTCAGCTTTAAGTCCAGAAAGTCCGATGTAATCAGGTCTTCAAAGTTTACCAATTTGATTGAATCACAAGAGGCAATGCATATCGAAAAAATATAAAAATATTCTGAGCAAACCGGGATTCGAACCCACATTACGGGTTTCTGGTAAGCCTAAGAAATAAATATTTGTACGGCGCCTTATACGGCTGGGACAAAAATATGAGACGTATTGAGCTGATAAATAAGTTATCTTAATTTGAAAACATATTACTAAATGATAAATAGGTTATTCTGGACATACTGCGATAGAGACAAAGACAAACGGTGTTTTAATAACTCGAACCGGGCTAGACAAAACACATGATATACCAGTCTAATGTCTTGTGCCACACATCTTTTGTGAATTCAGATCAATGCAAATCACGTATATATATTTACATAATAGATATGAACTGTGTCCTACTGAATAGGCATGGGTAGTATCCGCAGACAAAGGTTTACTTGAAGCTGTAAAGAGAGTGCCCGCATTTTCAATGATTCTCAATGCCATCATGGTCATCAAATATTGAATGTTCGTGATCACGATATCGATGATACATTGATATTGGGATGCCGTTACATTGTATCTTGTCCAACCAACGCGTTCAACTGTTAATGATGTCTGTATGCAATGATACATGTGTATGTTAGCATAAGGTTACAATAAATATAAGTTGTACTTACCTAATAAATGTTTCCAAGAAAGTTCACATTAAAGGAAAAACACATGGCAGCACAAAACGTAAGGAAGGGAAGTGCCGTCATATTATCCTGGTATCATTGAATGCATTATGATCCGTATACTTCAGTAACTCCAGAAACTAAAAGTCTTTCCGAATAGTGTGGGAAGTAATCCATGTAAACAGAGCGTTTACTGGTAGAATGCGTCATTGTGAAGTGTTGAATATTTGACCGAATCTTCCTCATAGAAAAAGATTAATTCTGAAAGAAACGAAAATTCTTAAAGTTCGTTTTCATTAGCAACAATGAATCTACAAAGTCCTGTTGTCATTTATTCTTATTACTGTGGATTGGTTAACAAATGACGTGGGTAACAGCAAACAAGGCGTAGGGCGCCTTCACCCATTGACACAGGCTGAGAGTCACTACTGATAACAAGGTTTGTCTGACCTAGTGTCTTGTAATCAGTGTCACTTAGCTGTACAACTAACTCGCAACATGCATCATACAAATGCACACGAATGGTTAGTCAAATGGGTGAAACGCGGGAAACCACATGCTCGACTTATTTGAACCTTTGAACTCAAACACTGATTCCTCTAGCGGGTTATACGCCATGTCTACCCAAATGTATACATAACTGTGCGTGCACGTGTACATGCACATGCAGTCATATCACCAAAATACAAAAGAAAACAAAACATATTTACTTACACACATCAGCAGCATTCCCTTTCTCGTATTTCTTAGGTATTCAAACAATTTGAACCTGCCTTGTGACGTCACAGCTACCATAGCTTCTTCCTGTGTAACAGTATCACCGACTCCACAGATATAGGTCATGTGCAATGGGAAGCGGACTCTTGAACAAGGCATATCCCCTCAAGTTGCATTCATTTGTAACACCGTTGGTCATGGTGACCTGTAGCGACAGCTGTTATACACTATAAAGAAGTTATTGCAATTGACGTGTCACCCAAACCCTTCATGGCAATAGGAGGCCCTTTACAACAAAAAGAAGCTTTCCCTGAGAAAGTATAACATGTAAAACATTTCGTGCATGTCGCTTGCTTAGGTTTACCCTTATTGACCTTCTTGCAAATGTCAGAATTTAAAATTGTTTGAGACAGGATCATTCAGCATTAATACAGGTGAATGTACACACATGGATTCATAACTCCATTCATTGTGCTGACATATATCTCGTGTTATTTTGCGAGCTGTAATTTTCCGTAGGTGCATGTAATTATATGTTTAGTTTACCGTGACAGATATAAACAGCTGAGCGACTAGGCACGACATTAATGTGTGGATGTGGTTGTTATAGTGACCAGCACACCTATTGTGTCATCAATTGTTGTACTGTGGAATACATCAATGCTGTACCTGAACTATTTCTGAGAAAATATCCCTCTGGGAAAACCGATCTATTTATATTTCTTACCTAGTCACCATTCAGATGTTAACAATAACTCGTTCCCCATGAAACCAGTATGTAGAAGTGGTTGTTATAGTGATCTACGATTATGTTAAAGGTTGTGGCTATGTACGGGATTGTTTTGTCACCCTGCAGTTGTTGCAATGTCACTGTGTACCTGTTTATTTGTCTCTGTATGGCTGTGGTTTTGTCACTGCGTAGTTGTATTTCTGACATTTTGTAGATGTGGTTTTGTTACTGTGTATATGTTGTTTTCTCTCTGTGTAGCTGTTGCCACTGTCTAAGTTTTTTCTCTCTCTGTGTAACTGTGGGTTTGTCTCTGTGTAGCTGTTGCCACTGTCTATAAGTTTTTTTCTGTCTCTGTGTAACTGTGGTTTTCTCAATGTGTTCACGATCCCATTACAAATGATATATGACAGTGTAGCTGTGATTTGCCACTGTGTAGATGTTGTTTTGTTACTGTGTAGTTCATACAGATCAGCTTTAGACAAAAATTACTGTAAGTGTCGTAGAACGTTTTCATAGAAACGATTGTTCTCAGAATGATTTTACGACTTTGATTATCTGTTCAGTTACTTCTGACAGGGGCGTCTATTTAAAACAAAACCTGACTACAGAACAACTGCTACACACTGTCGATTAAGGATAGCACGGGTTAACCAGGTGTACATACTCTTGTCAGTAGTTATATTCTAAGACAGCATAAACTCTGAGTATTAAGTGATATTGAATGTCATTCATCACATCAACGTAATATTTGTTTTAATCATACAAAGTATTATTATGCATCTTATTTTCATCAAATGATGTTTTGTTTTTTATAAAATGTACTCATTTCTCATAAACGAAATTATCACTTTTTAATCAGGCCTGTAAACTTTTTAAGCTTGATTGGTGACAATTAGAAATAGATGGAGTTGTTAGTTTTTGTGTGGTGTCTTGGGACTTGCATGGCACTTGGTGTTTCTTTGACAACATTATTTTCAGGCAACGGTAAAGTGAATATTGCTGTCTGCGCCCACAAACAGCATTCACTCAGTTACCACTGTATGTTGGTAGTCTGGCTAAAAACTCGTCACCTATCCCTCATATGTCATATTGTGATGATATTTGGTACAGTGTTGTTATTACTTTATTCTTATCTGCAATGATGGCTGACGTTCGGTGCTACGTCATGCTCAAAGACGTGCAGGTTGAGACTTCAGTGGCAGCGGATATGATGGGACATTGCTGTAGACAGAGTGGGACAGTTCAGAATTACGACGCGCTGTTCCAGCCCTCGCATGCACAACTTTCGATAATAATTATTTCAATGGACCCTTATCATGGAGCATGCATACCTCTTTATTAACTGGACGGAATGTTAGTGCTGTTCCGTCATTTGTTGGCGCTACGTCAGTTCAGCGTTAAATGGGTGGTGGGAACAACGACGACTGGAATCGACTAAGTATAAAGGTGTAATGTAGAGTACCTAACTGCAACATGGCAAGCACTATAGAAGTTGTAGGATAACTCTGTAAGTGCACAAATACCCAGTTTTATCTATCATCAGGAACACATTATATTTGGAATAGAATATCAGCAATATATATCAGCAAAATGGAAGTGACGGGTGTCACGGGTGATGCTCAGATAGACAATTCTCTCGTCACCGGTATTAATGAAGGTCAAATGTGATCTATTGGTGAGTTTACTGATTTGCTAGAGCACATCTTTCTATATCACAATGCTAATTCCTACGGTTGTCCTTGTATCTAAACATAGATCCTTACTACAGACCCGATTAAAGGATCCCCACTCTACATATACCATGGGCATGTGTTTATGAATCACCGTGAGAGGTGGGTGTGTCCTGTCTCACCGACGGCAGAATGTTCATCTGTTCGAAAACTGAGGAGAGTTGACCATTGTGAAATTGAAATCATCGCTTTTGTCATACAATCATACAGTCATAACATGTCTGATGCATCAGGAAACCATTAGACATCGAATGTGATGATCAACTCAATAGGTTTTCTATCTGTAAACAATGTACGTTTTAACGATATATTTAATACGGTATTCCAGAAAACAGACAGCAAACATACCACATTGAAAGTGCCCAAGGTGTCGTAGGTGGACAGGACATGCGAGGCGCATCAGTGGATCAGAGAGGGGTCACAGAGGGAAGATCAGGACACATAGGATACTTCAGAGGAAAAGGTAAATCTCCAGTCAATTCGCTTTTCTGTACGTAACTTATATTCTATATATTCCTTTCTTCCATGATCAATACTGCATTAGGTGCCAAAAGATTAACTATCGAAACAAACCTTGACACCAACAATGAAACTTCGACGTAAGCAAACATTGTTTTGGTTAATATGGTCTCAATTAGGAAAATAAATTTACACATGTGGTTTCATTTTCAGACCTTTCTGAGGTCACTGAAGAAGACATTGTTGGTCTTCTGCGGGAGAGAACTAGCAAAACACATCCCACTGTTCCAGGAACATGGTATTGATGGGGATCTCTTGTCCCAGCTCACAGATGTTGAACTTATAGATTTTGGGTTTAGCGAATCATTTGAAAGGAAGAAAATACTGAATCTGAAGAAATGTCTTCCGAAATAGTACATCTGTTGACTCACCTCGACTGGAGATCATGTGCTATGCCCTGTTCATGTAAATGTTGTCAATGCTATAATAAGTGACCTTGCTTGCATTGGTCCCCAGAGTCCTTCTTTTCTCACCTGATCATAAATAGTACATTTAGCACTCGGTCATTACATGTCCTGTTGATGTAATAAACACAGTATTTGAAACACAAAATCAAATGTGTTATTTTATTGAATGAAGTAAAAGCAGCATCTACACCGTCATCATTAGTATGCAACTAACTGGGTCGTGAGAACCGTTTATATGTGGTAAATGTATATCATAGCTCGATGCAAAATGATAATGGTAATGCTGTGATATACTTTAATGATATCCGTTCAAAGGATTTGTGATAAATCAATGACATGCCATATGCTGACTGAAGTTTGAACTCATTCCTGCGCGCACGCACACAAACACATGCGTGCGCGCCCAGAGATCCCACTTTCCAAAATAACCTTGTTTTATGTTTCTTCCTACAATATTAAAGTAGCTTATTCTTTGGCAGTCACGTCCCAAATGGTCATGATAACTAACAGAAGGAATTAACGCTAGAAAAAGTCCACAGAAAGAGATTATGCTGGGAGCACGCACATAAAATGGTCAGCAAAATATCTGTATGAGTGTACTAACGTTACTATGTAATATATCTTATTATTTTAAATCTTCAGTGAGCCTCTATAGCAAACAACTTTCTCTATCTTCTACAAACATTTTGTACGCATAAACAAAAGTATACAATTTGTGTTATCTTAGTGCGACGAAGGCTTCACCTTGATGTAAACCCACTTCCACCCTTGCAATACACAATGCCATTTTAGAAAGTGGTCAAATGTAAGATATGCTACATTTGGGATTACATTTTCTTAGTAAAGCACAGATTCTAGTACTTTTGGGGTTGAGTCCCATCCGAGATTCTGGCCCACACTCTCAGAGTCAGGCACCTAATCGCCAGCACACAAAGTCAGACGTCTAGACCGCTCAGCCACCGCGCCATCCACAAACAATGGAAGTCGGACAACTGGTAGTCTAGACTGCGAATGTTTGAATTAAAGAAAAGAAAAAAGGTGACTGTTGTAGACGTAATATATCACAAATCGAAGAACTGCAATAAGCAGGAGAATGGAGGAATCTGAAGGAAGTACATTAGGTGGTATTTTTAGATACTTGAAAATCCATTGTCAGAA